TATATATATATATATATATATATATATATATATATATATACTAATTTGGATCGCACAATGCCTTTGTACTGATCTCTCATTTTGAGAAGACAATCACCTTCACAGCAAGAGGAAATATATACACAACAGACAGAATATACATGTAACATATATTGATCATCCATGTAATATGTTGGTGCGTATAATAATTTTGCAAGCTAGTTGTTCTACTTTTTCGGTTTTGATAGTGCACTGCATAAATATGAAGGAAATAAAGCTCAGGATTACTATTCACATTACCTTCTATCGTGGACATTTGGTCTTCATCATATTGTTTCTCTTCGAAATTTTTCATGTTACTGGTTGTGCATGCAAGGTTGAAACTGATATTTGATCGGTGCGTGAGATGGTAAGTGATAATTTGCTTATATGTTCCCAACCCAATTGGGTGTCCCCTTTTATATACCAAACCTCTAAATCAGATGCTTGTTTGTGTATTTCAGTGAATTGGAAGGTATATGGAAAAAAGTGATAAAGAAGAGAATGATCCATAAAGAAACATGCTTCGCTTTTTTAAAGCAGTAATGATATTTTGTGTGTATGAGAAATTGATAAATATTTTAAGTGATGATATTATTGATGTAGAATATTTATGGAATTCTGTAAGTATTAATTTTTTTATTGAAATTTTGATTATTTTTAGTGTGATTTTTTTAGTTAATCAATTTTTCAATATAAGATTTAAATTTAAGATTTTATTTAAAAATTTGAAGTTAATGTAGCTCAAACCAACTCGGTAAAAATTAATAAATATATGACACATGATAAAGTGGTTGGAAATGAAAGAAAAAATATTATAAAAAATGGATACATGGAAGTGGCATATAAGAAATCTTATGGGATTAAATAAGTATTTCATCCCTTTAAATTGTCAAAATTTTTATTTTAGTATTTGTTTTTTTTATTTTTTATTTATCAATGCAAGTTTTATGGGAAAACTAAAAATAAGTAACAAAAGAACAAAAATTTAAACTTACATTATTTAATATTAACTAGTGAGAAGAAAAAAAGGTATTTTATGTTTTTATTTAATTATTCGTGTTAATAAAATAGTGTGTAGTTATTATACAATTAAAAAAAATTGTAATCTTTCATAGTCTTTATTTAATAATTTTTTATTTTTATTTAAAATGTTAAAATTGTTTAAAATAAAGTATATATGAAAACAGAAAAATCCCTTTATATATAGGTATAAACGAAAAAAAAAATAAGGAGTTGAAAAAACTATAAAAAAATTAGAAGTTTAAAATTTTAGAAGGACAAAAAATTATTTAAAGCGAGATTATGTGTATATATGTTTAGGTTTTTAAATACCACGTATATTCGAAGTCGATTAGGAATTAATTTTTAAAAAAATATATTTAAAATTTAACTTGAGGTTGTATTTTAGAAAAATCAAACTCTTCAACATTTATTTAAAACAATTTTTAATATTTAAAATAATTATTTTGAAACTCGATTATTTGAAAGGTTAATTTCAATTAACAATAATATTTATATATTGATAATATATCAAAATCAAATTTATTGTATTAAAATTCATATTTAATATGATCAAATATTGGTTACCTTAAATATAATACATTCAAGACTATTTTTATTTCATTGATATATAGTTTGAAGTCATTACACTAGTTATATAATAAAGTTAAACTGTTTTATATAATATTATTATTTCTCTTTTTTATTATACTAATAATCTTATTTTATATTTTACTCTTTTACTCATTCTCTTTTCTCCATTAATTATTAAAATAATTTATATGAATATAATTTACTACTATATATATCTTATATATTAGAATACCCTGATTTAGAGAGTGATTAATCTTCTTATTAGATATTCTAAATTTTGTCTTTTTTCTTTCCTTTGAAAGAAATTGTATTTTTCACTACTCTCCAGAAACTTTTTTCTCATTCATTTCAAACGATTATCTTTTTATCTTTATTTATATAGTTGATATTCTTAATCATTTATTTTTCAATTTATTATTATTTATCTATATCGTTAAATTGAATTTTAATATTTTTAAATTATAAGTAACTAAAAATATATCTCATTATAAATCACTATAAATGTCATTTTTATATTTTAACTAAATATACTCATTTATTATAAATTTTAATCATAATATAATTAAATAGTTAAAAAATTATTTATTAAAATTTTAATTATATAAAAATATCTATCATGTATGTAATCAAAAGACTAAAATATTAATTCAACTACTAGTGTCAGTCTAATAATGAAAGATTTGAAATAATATACACAAAATTTTTGTTGTTATTATAATTTTGATGAATTAAAAAAATTAAAATACTAATTTATGATAAAATAAAATATAATGAATTCGAACGGGATGGGACCATTTATTTTGCATTTTCCTTTTTATGTAATCTCTTCTTACTTCCCGAGCAAGCGAATGAAAGTGGTTGTTTCTTGGGTGCTTTTTAATTTTTTACTTTTTAACTTTAGCCTAATATACATATTGCACATTTTTTATTTTTTAACTTTAGCCTAAGATACATGTTGAAGCTTCATACAACGTGTAATGTGTGGACTTCTTTTTTATTTTATTTTTTAAACTTTAACCTAAGATACATGTTGAAGCTTCATACAACGTGTAATGTGTGGACTTCTTTTTTATTTTATTTTTTAAACTTTAACCTAAGATACATGTTGAAGCTTCATACATAATCGTGTAATGTGTGTGCTTCATGGTCCCTTCTCGGGAACAGGGCCTCAAATACGAGATAATGAATGACATGCATAAAATGACGTATAATTTATTCAATTCTATTGATGAATGATCGAGATATAAAAATAAAAACAATTTTATACGAGAAAAGAAAAAAAAAAAAGTTGAGGCAAAATCTAAGATGGTGACGGGTAGTATTTAGCTTATGAGAACTAATAAAATAAAGTGTAATTTTTATATGATTTATTAGTGGAGAAGAAAAAAGTATTGTTTGATATATAAATAATTGATACCTATCTTTTAAATTTTTAAATTAATTTTATTTAATAATATTAAATGTGAATTTTACTCTTATGTTTTTCTCATATTCTTATTGTTCTTATCCATCTTCTCTGTTCATACTTATCTTTTTTGTTCATACTTCAATGCATATGGCATGTCGGTAATATATATTATACCGGATAGTAGCTGACTAGGCTGAATACTCGAACACCTGACCTGGTCGACCCAAGACGATTCTGTCGAGGATGCCGACCACCTCGAACCTAAGTCGTACATGTCGGTGTGCTCAGCCAAGTCACGGACTTATGCCAGGACAACTAAGAAGAGGTTAATTTACGTAATGTGTCGGTTTAATCTCCTAATTTTTCGGGCCTCAGTCCTTAATCACGGCCCAACAAGAATCACTATAAATAGGACCCTAGTGAGGTATGTAACTAACTTTGAACTACCGCATTTATTACGCCGAGCACTGACTCGAGCGTTGGAGTGTCTTTGTAGGCACCCCCCTCTCTCACTTCAGACTACCCGGAAAGGAACGAGAAGACCTAGACCCAGGATCAGACCCGCAATAACCAAGACAAGCAAAGTGTGTATCCTAATATAGGAACATTTGGCGCTTACCGTTGGGCCGAAGAGACGTTTTCAGCCCCTTTGAACTCTATCTGACTGAGACTGAGACATGGTAGTTACACGCAAAGGACCATCAACATCGACTCAACCGATCCCTAACCCCGAGATCAATCCCGTCATGACCGGCCAAGAACGATACCTGTACGGAATACCTCAAACACAACCGGAGCCTGTAATACAATAGGTCCGATCGAACGTCGACGGAGCCCAGCCCGACCTCCACGATGACTTGCGCGCATTACGCGAGGAAATGGCAGCCATACGTAAACAGAGAGAAGCCGATGCTAGGGAGTTGGCCGAACTACGTCAGAAAAATGCCGATAGCTTTGAAGTCTGAACCAAACCTACGTGTCGTCCACTCCCACGCTCCTAGAGGAGTCAGCCTATCACGCCCCAACCGACCAGGCTACCCGAACACCAGTTACCTCTTTGATTGGTGGCAAGGCCGACACTACCACCCACTCTTAAGACACCCTTTCTCCCGAAGGATAATGGAGGCAACCTTGTTGGACCATTGGAAGAGCATGCCGATCAAGAAGTATGATGGGTCTACTGACCCCAAGGAACACTTGAACGTTTTCCTGACACAATCAACCCTCTCTACTCAAGACGATTCCGCCTTGTGCCAGATATTCCCCACGTCGTTGAAAGGAAGGGCTTTGAGCTGGTTCACGCTGTAGACCCCTAAAATTGTCCGGGTCGGAAATAAAGATTGCCGAGCTCTTCCATCGATTCGTTTAGTGAGTTGTCGTCCCAATTCACTCTTCAGTTTTCCACGAGCAAACCGTACAAGATGACCTCGCTAGCATTGGTGGGGGTTCGTCAAGAGAAGAAAGAAAGTTTGAGAAGCTTCATGGACCGATTCAACAAGATCGCCATGGAAATCAGCGATCTCAACCCGGCCGTGGCGATGGACCGGCTGAGCACCGCCCTGAGGCCGGGGCCGTTTGTAAATAGCTTGTGTAAGAAACCGCCTGGTGATATGAACGATCCCCGACGCCGAGCTGAGAAGTACATACAAATGAAGGAGTTGGTGGAGACCAGAAATCAAGCTAGGGCCGAAGAGGGGTACAGTCGAAAAGAGTCCGGTCAAGAGCCGATGAGAAAGACGAACGTCGAGCCCTCAAATGCTCGCCCCCCGAGAGGACCACGCTACACAGTGTATACTCCCCTCAACGCAAGTAGGGCCAAGGTAATGGAGCAGGCCCTCGCTTCGAAGATCCTTGTGATGCCGAAGAGGGCGAACACTCCCCCTGGAGCAGACAAGGCCAAGACATGCCGATTCCACCGAAACAGGGGACACTCGACTGAAGAATGCTTAACACTGAAAGACAAGCTCGAGGACCTTATCAAGCAAGGTCACCTCAAGAGCTTCGTCACCCTCCAAGACCACCAGGCAAGAGGGAGAGCCCATCATTCTCGCGAAGTCCCACAGCCGAGAGACCGATGCCACCGATCCCGTTCAGCCGAGAGGAGGGACCATTCTCGACATTCCAGGGAAGACAATGGCCGACCAAGGAAGGTGATAAACACCATAGCTGGAGGCTTCGCCGGGGGAGGTTCCACCTCTTTGGCACGGAAGAGACACCTCCGGGCTGTGCGATCAGTGAACAGTGTGAATCAGCCGAAGACGCCGAGGATGCCACCAATAACTTTCTCTCATCGAGATTTCCGTGGCTTCGATCCCGTTCAAGACGACCCCATGGTGATTTCGGTTGAGATGCACAACTGCATTGTGAAGAAAACTCTGGTCGACCAAGGGATCTCGGCCGACATCTTATATTGGAACACCTTCGTGCAGCTGGGAATCCCGGAAGAGAGTCTAGAACTGTACCACGAGCCGCTGGTAGGGTTCTCAGGCGAAAAAGTGATGATGAGAGGGTGCATTGACCTATCACTCGTTTTGGCTTCGATCAAAAGTCTTTCCGAGAGATCAAAATCCGTTACATTGTGGTGCATGCTAACACGTCGTACAACATCCTACTAGGCCGACCTTCTATTAATGCACTGGGGCCATTGTCTCAACCCCCCACCTATGCATGAAGTTTCCGTCGAGAGATGGGCAAGTGATAATCGTGCACGCTGACCAGAAGACAACAAGGGAGTGTTACCTTTCTAGCCTGAAGGTGTGGCCCATTGCCGACCCCTCGACGATGAAAGGTGTGAATGTGGTAAGGCAGGAGATGACGGAGGGCATTGACCTCGACCCTCGGTTAGGCGAGGAAGAGCGAATTGAGCCAGCCGAGGACCTTATTCCTTTTCAACTCGATCGATCACTCGAGTAGGTCACACACATGGGATCCCAACTAAGCGAAGTCGACTCAAACCGGGTGAAACGCGCGGTCTGAGATAACAAAGACCTGTTCGCATGGATGGTGTCAGACATGTCAGGAATAGATCCCAAGTTCCTGTGTCACCGACTGGCCGTATGCCGGGACGCACGACCGGTCGCAAAAAAGAAGAGAAAAATGGGAGACGAGAAGAGAAAGGCTGCAAACACCGAGGTGCAAAAACTGTTGCAAGCTAAGTTCATAAGAGAGGTCACCTACACCACCTGGTTGGCTAATGTGGTGTTGGTCAAAAAGGCGAATGGAAAGTGGAGAATGTGCACCGACTACACCAACCTCAACAAAGCCTGCCCCAAGGATGCTTATCCACTCCCTTGCATCGACTGGCTCATTGACAGTGCGTCCGGGCACGCCATCTTTAGTTTCCTAGACGCGTATTCTGGTTACAACCAAATAAAGATGCACCCGACCGATGAGGAGAAGACGACGTTCATCACCGAGAGCCCCAACTTTTGTTACAAAGCCATGCCTTTCGGACTAAAGAATGTCAGAGTGACCTACCAGAGGTTAATGGATAAGGTGTTTCAAGGGTAGATCAGGCGGAACATCGAAATTTATGTGGACGACATGGTGGTCAAGTCCAATTCTTTGGCCGACCACATAACAGACCTAGGAAAAATCTTCGGTGAACTATACAAGCATAACATGAGGCTCAACCCCGAGAAGTGCACCTTCGGGGTCAAGGGAGGCAAATTTCTGGGATTCATGTTATCAGCTAGAGGAATAGAGGCGAATCGAGACAAGTGTCAGGCTGTCTTAGATATGCAAAGCCCGAGCAACCTCAAGGAATTGCAACGACTATCTGGGAGGTTGGTCGCCTTATCCAGATTCTTTCCTCGTCTGGTTGACAAAATCAACTCGATGACGAAGCTCTTGCGAAAGAGTTCGGCTTTCTTGTGGAACGAGGCCTGTGAAGAAGCTTTTGCAGCGTTGAAGACAACTTTGGTGACGCCGCTGATCCTCACGAGGCCCGAACCTTTAAGCCCACTTCAGTTATACTTGGCTGTATCCGAGGAGGCGATCAGCTCGATTTTGGTACAAGAAAAAGAAGGCACCCAGACCCCTATATACTTTGTCAGCTGACTACTACAGGACACTGAGACCCGATACCAGTTGATAGAAAAGGTGGCGCTTGGCTTAGTACATACTTCTCGACGCCTAAGGCATTATTTTTAGAGTCACCAAGTGATTGTACACACTGATTGCCCAATTTCTAAGGTCTTGGGCAAGCCTGAACTAGCCAGAAGAATGATGGCTTGGTTAGTTGAGTTGTCTCAATTTGACATCGTCTTCAAGGCGAGGGGACCGATCAAAGCCCAATGCCTAGCTGACTTTGTGAATGAACTTCACCCACACGGCCAGTTCGAAGAGCATTGGTGGATCCTCCACGTGGACGGCTCCTCAAACTGCCAGGTGTTAAGTCTCAATTTTACCTCTTTTTGGATGAGACTTATTGAACAAATTCCACTCATCCTTTGAACCATTGCAATATAATTGTTCTCTTTTTGGTTCATTTTGTGTGCAGATATAACTAACCCAAATTCATCTAACAATACCTTAATCCACCTCATTTTTTTGTGCAGGTATTGAGGAAGAGTGGAAAGTTGAAGACTCTTAGGATTGGAAACCTAAGAAGCTAAGGAGCAGAGAAGAGGCTCTGCGCCGGGCTCAATATAACCTGCGCTGGGCGTGACAAAAACAGAGTATTTCATCTCTGCCAGGAATTAAGCCGGGCGCAAAAGGAATTAAGCCGGGCGCAAAAGGAATTAAGCCGGGCGCAAAAGGAATTGCGCCGGGCTTGTGTTGAGACAGAGAGTGCTTGACTTCTCTGGAAGAACTTGCGCCGGGCGCGAAGAATTGTGCGCCGGGCGCGGAACCCTAATCTGATCTCCCAGGCTCGTATTTGAAGCCATTTTCGGGGTTCTTTCCCCCCATTCTCACATTGGGCGCCTCCAGGAGCTGCGGAAGGGATTCCCAGGGCTTGGGATCGTCCGTGTGCGGATCTTTCCTTCGGTTCTTCACTTCCTCTTCCATCTCTATTTTGTATTTGCCCTCTTTGTTGAGTGGTTTCACCCATTTTGTGGGGTTAGATGTAACCAACGTACTCTATTGTAATCTTTACGGTTTTAATGATATATATACATGTTGTTTTATTCTTTGTTGTGTTTGTTTCTATTCTTAATGCTTGCTTTGGATTGATCACCCTTTGCATGATTTAAGGTTCCATGGGTATTGGAAAATAACCTTTGAAACTAGTTCTGAAACATATGCCTAGTGGTGATTGTATCTAGGGATAGAGCTTGACCCATTAGTAGTCTTAAACCCTAGCCCGTAATGCGGGTGTAGATATTGGGTACTCAAGGGATTGATATTCAATATCCGCACCTAGGCTCTTTCTCTAAGGGATTAGGTTTGAGTAAACTTATGGGTTGACTAAGCAATGAATTCAACAAGAGATTAAGGATACATTAGTGTTACGTTTGGTGAAATCTGACCCCCACAACCTCACAATACCACAATACCATTCCTTACCTTTTCCACTCACAAAACAATATTTATTTACAGCTTTCATTCCAATAGTCACAACTTTGAATTCACTGCACAAACTATGAAATTGGAATTATTCTTTAGTCACGAATAGTCAATAAATGCTTATATTACCTTCTAATCCCTGTGGATACGATATTTTTACTACTTGAACGGCCGGTATACTTGCCGTGTTTGAGACCGTTGATAGAATTAAACGAATTTACAAATATTAACAAAAGTGTTTCAACGGAACTCTCAACACCAGGGGAGCGGGGCAGGAGTAATTCTAGAGGGACCCAAGGGGATAAACTTAGAACAATCCTTGCAGTTCCGGTCCAAGGCTTCGAACAACCAAGCTGAATATGAAGCCCTGTTGGCCGGATTAAGGCTAGCCGAGGACATGGGTGCATCGAGAATTAAAGGCTTGACCGACTCCAAGGTGGTAGCCGAACAGGTGGGTGGTAATTTCCAAGTGAAAGACCACAACATGATGAAGTACTACCACGCCTACCAAAAGATGAAGGTGGATTTTCAGGAGGTATTGGTCGAGCACATTCCACGCGAGGATAACACCCAAGCCGATCAGTTGGCAAGGTGGCCGCGACCAAGAACCGGGCCAATTGAGAACTATCATTCAGCAAGAAATTAACCACCCTAGTGTTGAAGCAGAGATGGTAGGAAGTATCGGCTCCGATCATACCGACCCCAATGACTCCCAAGACTAGCGAGGTAAAATCAAAGCATTCATCACCAATGGGGTCACGCTGAACGACCCGACAGAGGCCAAACAACTAAGAAAGCAGGCCAGTAGATACGTCATCATTGCTGACTAGTTGTACAGACGCAACTTCTCCACCCCGCTACTCAAGTGCCTAGACCCCACAGAAGCGGATTATGTGATGCGCGAAGTGCATGAGGGCATTTGTGGAATGCATTCCGGAGCACGAACGACCGTCGCCAAAACTCTTACATGCCAGGTACTATTGGCCGACCATGAACATCGATTGTTCAAACTTTGTGAAGAAGTGTCAACCATGTCAAAGATACGACAACTTGACTCACCAACCTCCTGAGCAATTACATTGTATTCCTCCGGCATGGTCGTTCGCCACATAGGGGGCCGACATACTTGGACCTTTTCCGGTGGCCAAAAGACAGTGTAAATTCCTCATCGTAGTCGTGGACTTGTTCACAAAATGGATCGAAGCCGAGCCCCTGGCAAGAATTTCGGCCCATCAAGTTTAAAAATTTCTGTGGAAGAATGTCATCACACGGTTCGGCATCCCGTCAACCCTGGTCACCGACAACGGCCTTCAATTCACGGATCGAAAGCTGAACGAGTTCCTAGCGGCCTAGGAATACAACACAAGGTCACCTCGGTCGAGCACCCACAAACTAACGGTCAAGTCGAGTCAGCTAACAAAGTCATCCTTACGGAGTTGAAGAAGCGGTTAGGAGAAGCAAAGAGGGCATGGGCCGAGCAGTTACCCGAGGTGCTGTGGGCTTACAGATGTACGCCCCAATCAACCACGCAAGAAACCCCTTTCTGCTTAGTGTATGGATTCGATGCGATGCTCCCAGTGGAAATTGGGGAGCCGTCCTTCCACCGAGCTAACTTCGATGAACCGAGCAATGAAAAGGAGCTCCGAGCAAACCTGGACATGGTAGAAGAGATCCGAGACCGAGCACTAGTGGTAGCTGAAGCATGCAGGCAACGCTACAAGAGGAAATTTGAAACCAAGGTACGACCAAGAGAATTCAGGGAAGGCGACCTCATTTGGAGAGTCACAGGCGAAGCAAGAAAGGACCCGAGGCATGGAAAACTCGCCCCAAACTGGGACAGACCCTTTCACATAAGACACAACTTGAACAACGGAGCATACAAGCTTGAATACTTGTCAGGAACCAATTCCTAGGACTTGGAACTCTACTCATTTAAAGATGTATTATGGCTGATGTACAACCGTGCACTCTTTTCCTTGATCGACTTTTTTTTCCCTAAGGAGGGTTTTGGTTCGGCAAGGTTTTTAACGAGACACCAAACGAATATATAAATCCGATTTCAATTTATATCTATGATGATATTGCTAACATTTTCATACACGAATAT